GCTAGCCACCAGCTTATCTAAGACATCCTCTCTGCACACACTGTGGTGGGGATTGGTCTTGGTCAGCTGCTGGTCTGAACTGGTGGAAATGGACACAGGTGTGTCTGTGGGTGTATCCCAAGAGAAGACTGGCCCGTGAGGCAACGATGCATTTTCAGGGTAGGCACCACCTTTCCCTTGAGCCTCTCAGAGAAAGGGTCCCAGGTAAAAGCAGCCCTCTGTCTGATCTTCTTTTCTCTCAACAAGTGCAGCTCTTGCTGCTGCAGCTGCTGTTACTGGGCTTCCTAGTGTGAACACGATGCCAGCAACTCTCCAGGAATCGGCCAGCCTCAGTGCCACAGCGAGACTGCTGAGGTGCCCAACTTCCTGGCCTGCGAAGTTCCCAGGCCAGTAACCATCATTAACCACTCCACCCCCATTGTGTATGCCAGTCTTAGATCCCTTTTATTGTGCCTGAGTGTGTGTGTGTGTGTGTGTGTGTGTGTGTGTGTGTGTGTGCGTGTGTGCGTGCGCGCGCTCTGTTCCTCTAGAGGACCCTGCCCGTTAGTCAACAGGACCTCACTACTGTTTCCCTGAGGCAGCACAGTGTTCAGGTGTGTCTACAGAGCGCCTCCAACCACGTGGCAAGTGTTTCTTGGATGGATGGTCAGTGACATTTCTTATTTCTTGGAAGGCTAGAGTAGCCATTCGTAGTTGGTTGCTGACAGGAGAGCGAAAGTCAGTTTTCTTTAAGAGTGTGTAATTCTACCTCACTGCAGTGGGAAAACCGCAGATCCAAGAATATATGGGCATAGGAGACTTGATGGGTTAAAAAAAACCAAAACAAAACACAGTGTTGGACAAGGTAAATGAAGGTTGATCTGGGAGGGGGCGGGGTAAATTAATCAAAACACATGGCACAAAATTCTGAAAGAAAGCCAGGCGTGCACACCTGTAATCCCAGCACTTGGGGAGGCAGAGGCAGGCAGATCTCTGTGAGTTTGAGGCCAGCCTGGTCTACAGAATGAGTCCAGGACAGCCAAGGCTACACAGAGAAACTCTGTGTCGAAAAGAAAAAAAATCACGAAAGAGTTGATTAAAACTTCTCTTAAAATAAACATGGAAGAAGGTGTGCGTTCTAAAGAAGTAAGGCAGAAGCTCCCCGTTCACAGCAGCATAGGAGCACACCCAAATATTTACTGACAGGGTAACGAGGGAGCAGGATGAGCCGTATCCTGCAGGGGACATTGGTCAGCCTTCAGAAGGAAAGAAGTTTTGGTACATGCTACAGCATGGATGAATCTTGAAAATGTTACAGTCACACGGGAAAACTATGTGTGACTCCATTGAGTGGGTTCTTGAGTGGTCAAAATCATAGAAACAATGGAATGGCATTTGCCAGGCAGCAGGTATCAGAGCAACCTGGGAGCTAGGATTCCATAGGCACAGAGTCCATTTCAGGGGGTGGACAGTGCTGATCGCTGTGCTCTGACATGAGAGTCTAATGCTCCAGAGCCATACTCTCAGAGGTGGCCAAAGCGGCCCTTGCGTGCCCAGTACCTGTATGCGTACCTGTATGCATGGAGGCAGCATACTTAACCCCACTGATACAGGCAGTTAATACATGTAAACTGATATTTCAAAATGGTTACAGTGATAATTATTTTTATTCTCCACATTTTACCACCATAATTTGAAAAAGAATATCTTAAAAAAATTATATTTAACATAGTGTATGTAGTGTGTGTGTGTGTGTGTGTTTGCACACATGTACTGTGGAACAGTTAAGGCCAGAAGACAGCTTGTGGTAGTCACCCCTCTCCTTCCACCATGTGGGTTCTAGGGTCAACTGGAGCCCAACTGAGGTCACTGGGCTCCATGGCAAGGCCCTTTGCCAGATGTTCTAGCCAGCTCCAGGGAAAAGAATACCTTTATAATCCTCAGTTAGTTTATAAATACAGAATAATAGATGTCTCAGAGTAAAAGGAGGCATTACTATATGAATTATTGAGAGAAAAAAGGTGATGGTAGTAGGCTTGTGACCAAGCCACCAAAACAGCTACAGCACAGGGCAGGGATTTTCAGAATTTTAGTCCTGTCTGCTTTGCCTTTCCCATGATCCTTATGGTTCCTTCTTTTTAAAAAAATACATTTTTGAAGTTTCAGACTTTCAGTTAGTTGTAAATACAGTTGCGGGCCCCCATCTGATGGCTTGGACCACAAAACAAACAAACAAACAAAACCTTTGCTGTGGCTTGAGCCCCAGCTGCTGGACCCATGGCGGTCGCCTCTCAGTGACAGTTTCTGGGTGGAGTGGGCAGGTGCTTTGAGCAGGACTGCCTGTCCTGGCTTGCAGGGCAGTGTCTGGTTACTGCTTTAAGTGCCTTTGAGTCTGACCATCAGCTATACAGTTTTCCTGGCATGGCACACCCAGGGCATTGATTCAACTGACAGCCTCACCGCTGTGAGGGTCAGAGCTCTTATTGCTCTTCCCTAGTCAAAGAGGTAGAGGCCACCTAGTCATGACATCTCCTTGGTGACAGACTCAGGACTCAAATCAGAACCATTGGTTTCCAGTTACAGACTTGTAGGATGTGCCAGAAGGTCAGATGGAGGGGGCGAGTGTGTGCCAAGGAGGGAGATTGGTCCAGGAGGAAGGGGTGAGGGGCACACTCATGCTTTGAGTGGCACGGTTTTCTTGAGTCACGTGGTTCTGACATCTTTTCATTGAAAACCTGCTCTAAAGGCCTGTGTGATAAGAACCTCCCAAGAACGGAGCCCCCTACAGGGTGATGTCAGCCTGTTGCCTGTGGGCAGGCTTGCCGTTTGCTGAGGGGTGTTGAAGAGAAGCCTAGTCAGCCAACTGCAGCTCTTGCCAGCACTGCAGTTAATTTGGTAAATCTTGCAGCCTGCCTTCCTTCAGATGTTTACCTAAAGCCTCCATCTGCCTCCAAATTTAGACGGATGAGAAGTTCAGCATATCTGAGACATGTTTTCGCACTTGGCTATATACAGGATTGCACTGTTGAGCAAGTACTCACTTCAACCTGATTTAAATTTAATTTGAGAGAACATCATTCATTACCCTTTTCCCGTGCTCATCTTTCAAAGTGCAAGTTGCCTAAATATGTAAGGGCTTGCTTTTCTCGTCCAGCAAAAGCTCATGGGGGTGTTTGCTGCTGTCAGCTGGTCCCTTCGTCAACAGCATCTTTTTCAAAATGGCTCTTGCCTCATGTTATAGTCCCAGGATGAAAAGTAGAAGAGAGAAAAGGCTCTTTCTTCCTGCTAAGAGCCACTCCCCCACCCCTTCACATCTCTCTTCATTACTGGCTGTTCCACATGAGGGGTAGAAAGAAAGTTTTCGTAGTTGCCCATTTCTGTCACCAGCAATAGAGGGACTCTCTGAGAGAAGAAAGGGAGGATGGGCGCTGAAGGCAACTGGGGGCCTGGTAGTGTCCTCTCGATGGCTCTGTTTGTAAATTTTATCACATCTCTATTCTGGCACTAGACCACATCTCTGTCCATCAGAAAATCTGGTCTGAGCAGGATGTGTGTGTGTGTTTTGAGAATTTCACAGCATAGCCCAGACTGGCCTCTCACTCACAATCTTCCTGCCTCAGACTCCTGAGTGCTAGGATTGCAGATGTGGGCCACTGTGCCTAAACATGACTTGATTAGTACAGAAGCCAATGTTGATTGGTGTCTGTTGAAGTCCCACTGTTTTGCTTGAACCTAGAAAACCAATGAGCAAACGCTCCTAACTTGAAACACTTGAACCAGAGTGTATCTGATCCATTCCTCAGCAGCAAGACTTGGGCCTCTGCCATTTCTGACAAAGATCTCCTGATTCACATCTCTTTGTTCCCAGGCTCTCCCCACCATCGGTTATTCAAGGGTATAAATGCACATGTGGAAATCAATTGCTCACACATCTTCAGCAGCTACAGAGTTTTTGAGGAGTTGGTTTGGGGAGAATAAAATATGGATTGACTATCTGATACCAAAATACACACTTCCAGAGATCTAGGGGGAGAGAAATATTCACATCTGCACACACTGGGTAAGGAAAGGTCTTTTCTTTCTAACACAATGAAGTTCATTTAAAAAAAAAAAAAAGACATGAGCTGGGGTCGGTGGCTCGGTAGGTAAGAGCAGGTACTACATAAGCAGGAAGACCTGAGGACCTGAGTTCAAATCACCAATACTCATGTGAAAACCAGACAAGCCAGGCATGACTGTGTGCCTGTAACCAGCATTGGGAGGCAGAGATAGTTGGATCCCAAGTTCTCAATGGCCAGTCAGTCTAGGTGAAATAACAGTCTGGCTTCTAGTTCAGTGAGAGATCCTGCATCAAGTCAGCAAAATGGAGAGCCATGGAGGAAAAGACCTGCTCTGGGCACGCACACACTAGGATGCACACACATACAACAACAAATGTTTTTCTACTTCATAGGAAAAAGAATCTAAAATATTCTTGACCCACATTTTAAGGTTAGAACATGGATCTTTAAACAAAGCTTGGTTTTCATTGTACCTAAGCTAAAGGAGATGGACAGGTCTAAGGCATTGGTCAGCTTCTCTTTTGCAGTCTTGTGCTCAGACAGGCAAGGAAGGCATGTGGGCTTCCATCCCACTAACCCTGGAGGACATAGATGTTTGGGGAATCTGTCCTCTAAATTTTCTTTTGATAAAAATTCAATGTTTTATTCCATGATAAGTGTCACAGAATGTTATGGACTGGGAATTTTATTGGCTTCATGGTCTCTGGCACTTTAGCCTCACACTGGAGCTTCTTTGGCAGCTGGATATTTACCTGGAGACAAGAGAAAACTAAGAATCAGGTCGACTGCCTAGATTGCTGTAACGACAGAACAGCAGCTGACTTCTGTGCTTTTTCTGTTACGTTGCTATGAACCAGGTCTCCTGCAGCCTTGAGGGCCCACTCTCAGTCTGGTTAGAGCATCTTGGATACAAGTTCCTTATTTCCCACATAACCTTGCATATCTTGTGATTCTCCCTAGATCTGAAAGACGGATCTAAAGAAACAGCATGGAGAAATGACTTTTGTGTCCTGCATTTCCACGGAGGCCTCTGTTCTCACAGATTTGCAGGTAAAGTAACTGTTCTTAAAAGATGACAGTCGTGCTTTGTATGCAGCCATGCTGAAACAAACTTCTCAGCAAGAAAGCGGTCAGTGGTAGCGCACCCTACGAGGGCCCCAAATAGAGCCCGTTTGACGGTGAGCAGCCTGGCGACCTGTGCCAAGACAGTGTCACTGGACAGGGGTCTTTGTGACGGGGCGCTGCAGAGGTCACACCTGGTGAAAGCCTCCCGTGGCTTTGCTGGTCATGTACTCCTTAGAGATGACTTTCCCAAACTTAGGTCACCCCCAAAAGAGTGGGGGCCAAGAGGAGCAATCCGTAGCTTCTGCCAAACAAAGCATCACTAGTACTGCCACACAGGGCACGGGCTGCTGGGGCTCAGCCGGGGAGGGGTTGAGTGGTCTAGATGCTTTTCGAAGAAATTCTTTGGCAACCATTCTCTCAAAAGAAATGGGAAATCACCTCTAAACAGTAACTATGGCAGCTATCTTCCTGTCTCTCACAATCAGGGAAGATCTGGGTCTCCGTAATTTGAAAGCCCCAGGGAGAGTTCTGAAGCTTCAGTTAAAAATTACTGTCAACAAAAAGAATATTGCCAAAGAGTAAGCAGTGAATAATCATGTAGAATGCCTGAGTGGGAGAATAAGGGATGCACTGCCTCAGGAAAATAAAACAAACAAGGCGTTGCCTCTGAGTTCCCCCAGAAAGCCATTCTTCTTATGGAGGTCCCAAAGCCTGACATTCCCAGACCAGCATATTTTTCCTATAGCTCTCTCACATGCATCATGCCATCGGGTCCTCACAATAGCCCCGCAGAAGAGAAAAACTATTATCCTGCCTAATACCTGGCCTGTGATTAATAAGTAGCTGCATCACTTGAGGAAGATTTGATAGCAGAGCCCAGACTAGAATGTGGGCCTTCAGCTTTGTCCTGCCGAACAGCTGCAGTGCACCAGGGTGAGTGTGCTTGGGCTGGAGTGGAGGAGGAACCAAAGCCTTTGAGGACCTCGTGTTCCTGCCTTCAGACAGATTCTAAATGAGCAAAAGCGAACTATGGCAATGGCTCAGAAAACAAAACAAAAACAGGAGTGTGGGTAGGCCGGAGAGAGATTTCAAAAAGGTAATCGAAGAGAACCCAAGGAAATGGTATATTTGTTTTTCTCAGTGTGGGACCCCTAGCAGGCCAGGTTCCAGGAAAAGGTGGTCTAGATTAAGGAACAACAAGGACAGAGTCCTGAGGCAAGAGTTCTGGAAGGTATCAGGAGGCTGGGGTCTCCTAGAGCTAAATGAGAGAGTGAAACAAGAGCTGAACTTGTGGAAGAAAGCAGACACTGGGAAAGGAATCAGATTTTATCCTAAGCGAAGGGAAGGGTTTGACATATAGCGAGCAGGTGTGTGTGGCAAGGGCACATCTTATTTCCTCAGGGAGAATGGATTAGAAGAAACAAGGGGGCCGAGTAGGAGGCTGTCTCTCATGCAGACAGAGTTGATGTGGCTTGGAGCAGCGTGCCTCTTTCAGAGTGGGAAAGGGGCATAGGCTCAGAAATACATTCTGGATGTAGAAGCAATGGGTTCCTGCAATATAGGACTAATATGTTTTCCCACTATGAAATCTCTCCACCACTTAGAGATGGAGAAATCAATCTCTTTAATAATAGCACATGTCTGTTTCTGGCTCATGTACAAAAGGGACCCAGCCCTGAACAGAAATCCCTGTCAGTTTATATAGTTTCACAGCCCCAAGTTATACTTTGAGCAATTAAACATTTTTTGCAGGGACAAATTCCAAAGTTTGGTTGTTTGGACAAATGGAGAGATTTCTAAAATAAATCTAAAATAGTGTCATCGTTATCCTGACATGGAGCAGGGCTGCTTTTCCACACAGCTGTAGGCCAGGGTCTTCCTTCCTGTGGGGCAAAATTGAAACCAGGGTTGTGTTCCTTTAGTTAAATTCTATTCTGTGTAACTTCGTATTAGTCCCGGGTCCTGTAGAGCCCTGGGTGACCGGAAGGGCAAGTCCAGTTGTGGTTGATGATAAGTGGACTAGAGTTGAAATTCCTGGCTCTTCTACATATTATGACCCAAAGTAAGCTACGTGTCTTCTGTGACTCATTTTCTCATCTGAAAAGCACCTCGGCCATCTGCCGGACAGTGTAAGTAAGAAAAGACAAGTAATATTGGCGTTCTGCACAGGTCATTAAGAAGGAACAGGATGTGTCCACGGACTCTGCCAACGGGAAGAATTCTGTTGACTTTGGTCAGAACCATCTCAGTGGTGAGGGGTGGGGAGCCAGGATGTGCTGAGTGCCCATCAGGAGCCTACATAAGGGACTTGGGGATCGCACTCTGTAGTGTCCCCTTGATGGACAACAAGTTGCCGGAAGCTTATCACTGAATGTGTCCTCCCCAGATTCATGTTGAACCTTAGCTGCCAGTGTGATAGGATTGGGAGGTATAGGAGGTCGGTAATGCCTTAGGGTACAGCACCACAAATGGAATTAGTGACCCTCTAAGGAGTGTGAGGGAGCTGCTCACCCCTCCTACTCTTTGCCTTCTGCCATGGAAGAATGCAACCCTAGGGCGCAATCTTGGAAGTTGGAGTGAATCACTGGGTGTGAACCTATATTTTGGTCATGGCTTCCCACCTTCCAGTAGCATGAGAAATACATTTCTGTTGTTGATAAACTCCTGAATTTATGGCAGTTTGTCATAGCAGTGGGAGCAGACTAAGACACATATGCAATGGAGGACAGGTGTTCCCAGCATCTAGGACTGACGTGAGGGGCTGTGTTGGGCAAGCACCTTTGGAGAAGGGCTGCGGACTCAGTCACTTTTCAAGTCCTTTCAGTTTTAAGATTTTACACTTACGTTTCTTTGGGAATTGTAGATTTCTTAACTAAGCGTTGATGGAAAAGACCTAGAAAAATAAACTCTCTTATTTAAGTGGGTTTTTGTTGTTGTTGTTGCTGTTGAAAAGCGTGTTTGCTGCTGTTAGAAAACCAGTGCTATTGCGAGTAGCACTGGCCATAGCACACTGGACGGAAGAAATGGTAGGACGGTGCCTGCTGGCTTCTGCAGAGGTGAACCTAGGGTGCACGGTGGGTGGGTAGGGATGATGCCATGGAGAGCATGTTTCTTGAAAACAGCCTGGAAGCACATGTTGTCCACAGAATGTCATGCCAAGTTATGGATCATTGCAAGCTCTATTTTCCACTACTGGTTTCTCTGCCTTCCTGATTCTGCCTCGTTTTCTTAATGAAATGATAATGAAAACCCCTTTTTCTTTCTTCGTAAGGACTAATTGCTTGCCTTTTCAGGGCTGTCTTCATGTACACTGCGTAACTGGCCCAGCCACGGGCTCTTGTGTTTGGCGTAGGTGCCGTATTTACCTGCCTCACACTCTGACAACTGTTTGCCTTTGACATGTTCCTTCTAGACGAGAACAAAGAGAGTGCACAGTCATAGAGAAACTTGTCTTTGGACTCCTGCATAACTCAAGGTACTGTGGGGGTGTTACGGAAATACACTGGTGCTGAGTCATCCTCCCACCTAATGGCCCCAGTCCAGAATTTTCTGTGGCCGGTGATGAGCAAGCTGTCGTGGAGACTCCGTGGGCTTGTCCAACCATTATGCATCAGGTTTCCTGTCTAGGAGGAGATTTGGTTTTTTATCTATTTCTGTTTCTTTCTCTTAGTATGCTTATCCTTATATTTCTGTCCTTATGTAATGATGAGTCTCCTTTGTAAGACTTTAGGGGAAAAAAATCCTGATATGCTGGAGAGATGGCGCAGAGGTTGAGAGCACTATCTGCTCTTTCAGAGGTCCTGAGTTCAATTCCTGGCAACCACATAGTGGCTCACAACCATCTATAATGTGATCTGATGTCCTCTTCTGGCGTGCAGGTGTATATGCAAATAGAGCACTCATTTACAATAAATAATTTTTTTTAATCCTGGTATTCCCAAGTTAATAAGCTTTCTGTATCCTGTTTTTCAAGTTGACATGGGATAAAAGAGTTTAAAGACTTGAAGGTAAGTGTGTTGAGGGACACTCCCTGCCTGGAGAGAGATTCCATCCAGAAAGTTTTCTAAAACACTTAGGCAGTCTCAGATATCTCCAGCTGCACGTGACGATATGTGGCAGGCATCACTGGTGGCTGAGTTCCTACTGCCTGAAAATGGGCTGATGTTGTCATCAGCTCATGGATTGGCCAGGGCCTGGGTCCTCTGAGGGAGCTACGACTCATCACCTACATTAATCCTTCACACGATTCTCTCAGGCAGGTGTAGTGCCTCATGAGTGGAATGCACTTGTCTCTGCTTCAGTTACGTAAGACTTCCAGTGGGACATCAGTCAAGGGCTGAACCATTATGGGAAATATGGAGACTTTCCTCCTTCTCGCCAAGTGAGAAGTCACTTGGAAGGCTGAGTAGGGCTACAGAGCAAGGCTTCCTGGCTTCAGGCTCCACCTACAGCACTTCCGCATCTGGACCTCGAACAGTTTGGGGGTTTGTAGATTTTCTTTTTAATTTGGGACATTGGTAAAAATGAACTTAAAGTTGGGGAGACTTGGGGTAAGATGAAAGAAAGGAGCATTCCTGCTTACATGCCATGACCTGAATGCACTCAGGGACAGGCACCCAGGAGGGTGCTGGCCGGTGCCGCACGGAGAAGCTTTGAGGCCCATCATCATAGAGAAGCCCCCCTCCATGGGAGGAGAGATTTCTGCCCTTGCTCTTGGGTAGTATCTTGTTTGCCTCAGTTTCTTTTCTCATAAAAGAGGGACAGTGGCAGTTGCCACTTTATTCATGTATGGAAGGGTTTGTTACACATATAGAAATCAGAACACTGTTCTGAGTAAATTCTCATCCTCAGCAATGCTATTAAATTCACAGTTTGGGATGGAGACTTTGAGACACTGATTTTAAAACACTGAATTTGTACCGTGGCTTTGGGGTGGACTGGAAAGAAAGGCAGTAGAGCTGGAGGCGCACGAGGTTCATTCCCTGTGCTGAAAAACAAGAGGCATTAAGCTTAAGTCTAGGCTTAATGAAATGTTCCCCACCCATCCTTAACATTGTCTACGTAAAACAACCTTAAAGATTCTCTTTCTAAAAGCCAGGGGCTAGTAAAATGGCTCGATGGATAAGAGCGTATAAACTGTCTTTACAGAGGACCCAAGTTCAATGGCTAGCACCCATGTCAGGTGGCTCACAACCTCCAGTAACTCCAGCCACAGGAGGCCCAAGGCCCTCTTCTAGCCGCCACGGGCACTTGCATTCCTGTGTACAAATCCCCATGCAGATACACATGCAAACTCATTACCACAGAATATGTCAGTTTTCTAAGATGGATAAAGTTAGTGGGTCCGGTATAATTGGTGTCCTGAAAAAGTTCAGAGATGTGTGAAGCAAGCTGGCTATGGGTAAGAAAAGGCCTTATAGGTAAGGGAAGGTTTCAGAAACCTTTTATTGTTACTAAATTTTTCATGAACCCCATAATCAGCTATGTAACCTCATGTTCAGCATACAGTTTAGTATGCTGCGGCCTGGCAGGCCGGCTTTCTAAATCCCATATTGAGCAGAAACGCTGACTTTCGGAGAGGTTAACTAGACAGTGCTCCTCCAGGGTCCTCAAGCTCAGCCCCGGGACACCTGAAAGCCAGCACTCCCGTCTCTTTCTTTCCAGCGTCTGGCAAGATCTGTAAGTTCCTGTATTTTGAGTTTTTATTTATTTTTATTTTATGTGTATGGGTGTTTTCCTTGCATGTATGTCTGTGCGCCACAGGTGTGAAGGGCCCTCGGAGGCCCAGTGAGAACACTGGATCCTCTGGACGTGGAGTTACTGATGGTTGTGAGCTCCCGTGGGGGAGCTAGGATCTAACCTGGGCCCTCTGGAAGAGCAGCCAGTGCTCCGACCACCGAGTCAACTCTCCAGCCTTCTGTTTCTGCTCCGTAAAAGCTGACACTTACTCAGCACTTACTTCTCCCAGGCTTCTTACTTTTATTCCTGATTTATGAGTCTCCTCCTTTTCTGGGAAAGGGGCATCCTCCTTCTCTGATGGCCCGGGCCCTGAGAGTGCTGACTTGAAAGATGGCTGTACAGCTGCTGGTGATCTAGCCATTGTCCTTGAGTGCAGGTGTTTCTGTGGATCTAGGCACTTACTACTGCTGCCTTTGAGCTCCGGGAGACCTGGGGAGAGCGCAGATCAGGGAAATGCTTCCCAGCTGAGGCATTAGTGAATCATTATAGATCTAGTTTACCTGAGCTGTAGCGGTCAAACCTTGCTGTTATTGTCTTCTTCCAGTTTGATTGTCATGGCTAGGAACTGTGTCTCTATGGTGATAGACCCCACCAGGCAACTTTGTTATCTACCCAGGTGAAAGGTGAGAGTCCTTTCTTCTATTGAAGTCATTTAAAATGCAACTGTTACATATGCCCAGCTGGCAAACTGTCCACAAGCCTGAAGAGGAAAGTAGGCCCTGGAGCGTTTACAGAAGGCGACATGTAGACTGGTCCCCTGGGAACACGGCACTCAACTTGAGGGCCACCTTCACCTGGCCCACCCTTCACCTTGGGTAGGGCCTCCTCCATCTGTGCCTGGGGTGTTAGGGGTCTCCCCAGGTCTGGGGAGCAGGTGGCTATAGTTTGTAGGTGCTGATCTGGTCACCTTCACCCCTGAAGCGTGTAATCCTGGCAGCCCTCCTGGCCGCTCTCTGCAGAGCCCAGTTAGGCACCAGTTCCTACAGGCAGAAGCCCAAGCCAATCTGAGGCTGGAGGTTTCAGTCTCGGATCTCCTGGAGGTGATTTCCCTCTGTCTACCCAAGATGCAGAGCTGATCGCTCAGCCTAGCCAGCATCTTGGAATGAGGCCAACATCCTTGTTTGGGAATTATTAGCAGGAACTCATTAAAATCTGAGGGCATGCCACCTCCACATCCTTTTCTTTCTTTTTTCCTCTTTTTGCAAACCCCTTCCTTGTTCTTTGTGAATTTTAGACAACATTCTTTGATGGTATTCACCTTTCACCCACCCCCGACTCTCGCCAGGTCTTCCCCCCTTTCCTAGCCGCCCAAATTTGTGTCCTTCCCCGACACTGAGGCATTTTTAGCTAAAGGACTGGTATTTTTATTTTGACTTGGGACAGGATACTAATACTGGAAGGTGCTTCTTTCAAACCAAAGGCTGCCCCCAGCCAGACAGTCTTTTCTCTTAAAAGATCCTTGGGGCTCAGGACAGACATTCAGAAATACCGGACAGGCCTGGGCTGTCCCTGTGCCTCCACTTTTTCTTTTGATCGTTCTTGTCCCGGCCTGGAAAAAGCCAGAGCAGGAAGTCAGAGCTGGTTCCAAAGGGCTTCCCCTACTCCCGAGCACCTCCCCTACCCCATTGCCCAGTGCTCTGGAACTGGCCTGTTTTGGGCAGCCAGCCCTGGCATCCTGACAGCTCAGACTCTCCAAGTCCACGGCTGGACCCAAAGAAGGCAGGAGCATGGATGCTGAGGCCCTGGCAAAGGGCAGAGAGCTGACCCTTCTCTCTTTATATATCTGTGAACATGGTAGCAGAGTTACGCATGGCATGACAATTCTGGGAGCCTGTGTCAGCCCCCTTAAACATCTCACTTCACTAAGGGCAAGACTAGCTGGTGCCAGTTAAGATGCCAGGACCTCCAGCGCGTGCTTGGAGTTGACTAATCTCTTGTCCTGTTTTGTCATGGCACCTGTGTCCATGTGCACTCAGGCTTCCGAGTCTGCAACATGGTGGCCCTTGACCTGAGCCGCAACATCTCACTCCCTGGCCACATCTCAGCCTGCCCTGTGATTGCCTGGGATCCCTTTCTCTACCTACTGCTCCATACTCACCCTGGTCATCAGGATTATCAATTCCACATTTATGTTGCTGACACATTTCTCTCCAGCACTCACCCAAGCTTAAGTTGTGGCCGGGCCAGTTCCCTGGTGGATATTTCCTATGGAAATCCTGAAGGCACTCAAGCTCAGTGCGATCAGAACGGGGCTGCTCTCCTCAGCTGTCCTGTGCCCTGTGCCTCCACAAATGTAGAGAGCATCCACTTAGAAAGTACTGAGAGATGATGGCTCAGAGGCTAAGAGCACTGGCTGCTCTTCCAAAGGTCCTGAGTTCAATTCTAACCATATGGTGACTCACAAACATCTATAAGGGGATCTGGTGCCTTCTTCTGGCATGCAGGTGTACATGAAGGCAGAAACTGTATACTAAATAAATAAATCTTTAAAAAAAAAAAAAGGAAAAGAGAAAGAAAGTAGTAAGAGAAGTCAGGCTTGGTGTCTCGCTCCTTTAATCCCAGCACTCAGGGAGACAGAGGCAGTTGGAGCTCCGTTAGTTCAAGGACAGCAGGGACTATACAGAAAAATCCTGTCTTAAAAAAAAAAAGTGGTGAGTTATCTCTTGATTCATCTCACACACGTGTTAACATAACAGGTCAGGTCATACATAACGATGCCTCTGGTCTCTCTGTCTCCACTCTACTGCCAGGTCCAGACAGCATCTCTGTTGAATGAGGGCTCCAGCTCAAGGGGTCTTGGCTCACTGTCAGATCTAACCCTCTATTCCAAACATACAGAGTAATTGAGTCTTGCTACGGAGGCTCAAGGTCAAGGTTCTGCCTATTGTTACAAAAAAAGCTTGTGGAAAACTGACTCTTCCACAGGCAAGACTGTGAGCCTAAGGACATTTTTATAGCTGCTCTGAATGAGTGCTGGGCGTTGCCAGGCTGAAGGCCATTTTGCCAATCCTGTGAGAGAACGGGCACTGAGGAAGGAGATAAGGCTGGTGGAATGTTTATAATCTGTGTGTTTCACAGTCTGTGCTGCTATTTTTGAAATGGGGCTCCTGAAAGACTTCAGGCCTCCATGCAACAAGCCTCTGAAGGCTGAAAGAGGTTAGATGATCGTTTGGGCCCCAAGCGAGTCAGTGCATCTCCGAGGATCATCTAATTCTCTCAGCTTCTGCCAACCCACAGCACTCGCTCCTCAGATACCCTAAGACTGAGCGCAGACTGTAAGGCGCAGGTTGTGCAGTCAGCCTTCTGCCTGTGGGTTACCTTCTGCAAAATCACCAAAGCTCTCACTTGAAAAACCTGAAAACAAAAATTCTAGAAGGTCCCCAGAAACAAAACTTGAATTTTCCCTGAACCAGGTGCTGTAATTTGAATTTACATGTGCATTTACAAGTGTTGTGTGAATACTGAATTAGGGGTCTTAAATTACCTAGACCCTGAGAAGATTACATAAGACATTATGTATAGGATATATGCCAATATTCAGCCATTTATCTAAGGAACTTGGGCATCTGTGTCTCTTGGTTATCCCCCAGAAGGCCTGGAACCAGCCCTCTTCCACACTAGGGAAAAACTGTGACTATTAGGGTCTACTGTGTTTGATAACCAACATCTCTCTAAATGAGCTAATATTATTTAACACTGACTGTCGTGAAGTTCCATGGCTTATTATATTTCTAGGTTATTATTTTTTTGATTTGAGCGAGGACTTTGTTTTCTTTATCTTTGGATTCAGCATTCTGTGGTACCCAGTACACTTTGGACAAACAGAATTTATTTTTCTCTTCATATTAGTTAATTAACAATTACTATCCCTTTCTCCTCTGCAGAATGAAGATATTCCGATGTTGCTTTAAATACACTCTTCAGCAAAAACTCTTTGTCCTGTTCTTAGCCCTGTGGCTGTTCTCCTTGTTAAAGCTTCTAAATGTGGGCAGGCTTCTCTTCCCTCAAAGAGACATTTACTTGGTTGAATATTCCCTAAGTACCTCACCGTTTGTAAGAAACAGGTTCCCCGCCGTTGGGGATGCTGCCAGAGATGAAGTTAACTGCTCAGGGATCTACGAGCACGAGCCCTTGGAAATCGGCAAGAGCCTGGAAATCAGGAGGCGGAACATCATCGACTTGGAGGACGGTGACGTTGTGGCGATGACAAGTGACTGCGACATCTATCAGACCCTAAGAGGGTACCATGAGAAGCTTGTCTCCAGAGAGGAGCAGGCCTTCCCGCTGGCCTACTCACTGGCTGTCCACAAAGACGCCATCATGGTCGAACGGCTGATCCGTGCCATCTACAGCCAGCACAATCTCTACTGCATCCATTATGACCTCAAGTCAACGGACACGTTCAAAGTTGCCATGAACAACTTGGCTAACTGCTTCTCCAATATTTTCATCGCTTCCAAATTAGAGGCTGTGGAGTACGCCCACATTTCCAGGCTCCAGGCTGATTTGAACTGCTTGTCAGACCTCCTCAAGTCTTCCGTTCAATGGAAGTATGTCATCAACCTATGTGGGCAAGACTTCCCCCTAAAGTCAAATTTTGAATTAGTGTCGGAGCTGAAGAAACTCCAAGGAAGGAATATGTTAGAGACAGTGAGACCACCTACCAGCAAAATGGAAAGGTTCACTTACCATCATGAGCTCAGACAGGTGCCTTATGAATACATGAAACTGCCAGTGAAGACAAACATCTCCAAGAAGGCACCCCCTCATAACATCGAGGTGTTTGTGGGCAGTGCCTATTTTGTTTTAAGTCAGGCATTTGTTAAATATATTTTGAACAGCTCCCTCGTTGAAGACTTTTTTGCCTGGTCTGAAGACACATACTCTCCTGATGAGCACTTTTGGGCTACCTTAATCCGGATACCAGGGGTACCCGGAGAGATTTCCAGGTCATCCCAGGACGTGTCTGACCTGCAGAGTAAGACCCGGCTGGTTAAATGGAATTACTATGAAGGCTTTTTCTACCCCAACTGCACTGGCTCTCACGTCCGCAGCGTGTGCATTTATGGAGCTGCAGAATTGCGGTGGCTTATAAAGGAGGGGCATTGGTTTGCTAATAAATTTGATTCTAAAGTGGATCCCGTCTTGACTAAATGTCTGGCAGAAAAGCTTGAAGAGCAACAGAGAAAGCTGATTACTTTATCTTCAGAAAAGTTCATTATGAGATCCCAAAGCCACACATCATAAGATCACTACGGACTTGAGGGTACCTGATACAGAAACTTAAGGAAGATGGAATCATGTACCCATGCCCAACACCCTCTGAACTTAATACCTTCCAAGGGTGAAACTTCTATAGAATTCCATGCATGGACTTTGAGCCCACAGGCCGGTGGTTTGTAAGTGCTAGTCTTAAATGTTCAGTGATAGCACATTTATTGAACACCTAAGAGTGCATCAGGAACTTTGTCAGAAGACAGCCGGAGTTACACCTGAGTTGTAATGAACTGTGCACTTGGGAAGCAGTGTTTAGCCTCCTAATGTGGCAACTGTGGTGTTCCGTGTTTCCGTGTAACACTGAGGGTGCTACGGAAGGTGACGTCGGAGGGTGCGCTAATCATGTAAGCCGCTCGCCTCTGGGAAGCATGTGAGTGCAAAGCCGGCACTCCTTTTCTCAGTTCAGCAACTAAGACATTTTTAAATCGTCAGGATACTAGGAGGAGGAGTCCACTACCTCAGAGAAATGCAAAGAATTGTCCGATCGCCTGCTTGCCAAAGTCTAAGTTACCTTTTGGTGCCTCACTTTTCTGATTCAGGGAGAGGGAACACCGTTGGTGTGACGTTTGTAGGGTCTGCTTGTCTGAGAGGGCAGAGGGGGCGGGTGGTGGGTGGCTCGGGACAGGTGGTGCCTGAAGGGGAACAAAGGGCCTTGTTGTGTTACACAATGTTGTCACGAATGGTTTCCTTTTTAATTCACTTCTTTCTTTAAAACACATATACTAGTGAAAATGAAACTGAGTACTCGTTGAAAGTGTCATGGACCAGGCCCCTGGGCCTCTGCCTATCACCTCACAAGTCAGCTTACTAGATAAGATTGTGCCCTTGCTGTGGTGCGCTTCTGACGGGGTTGATAGTTCTTCTTTAAGGAACTGTCAAGTCAGTAAGTTTCCTTAGAAAGGTTTTGTGGAAATACAACAGCTTTCTCAGTTGGTTATTGCGGTCACTTGCACATTTTTCTTTTTTAAGCAAAATGGAATCAAAATGCAAAATGATAAACACTCCAAGTTAGTGTAGCATTTTTCTCAACTGAGCACCAAAAGGAATATTATGACCTTTATTTTATTAATATCCACACTTAAAAGAATTGTGGCAGAGGCTGACGTAGACTGGCTGTCCTGTGTGTCGTACCTTGGAGGGAGAGCCTTGGGAACAGCCTGCAGGATTACAGTCCCCAGGTAAAGTGGCACACGCGTGAAGCTTCCGTGTATTCTGATAGCAGCCACAGTAACTTCTCAAATAGGTAGTAATCAGGGCCAAAACCAGATGGTGTGAGAGAATGAAGTGCTTAAATACCCTTTTCAGTTTCTGGCTCTGCGTGTGAGCTGCATGTGGTGTATTAACGGTGTCACCATTTTCACTTCATTATCCTTAAAGACAGGTTTTAGAGGGACTGGAGGGTGGCTCAGCAGTTAAGAACACATGCTGCTCTTGCAGAAGACCCAAGTTCTGTTCCCAGCACCCATACTAGGAGGCTCCCATCTGCCTGAAACTCCAACTCTAGGCAATCCAGTGCCTTCTGGCCTCCAAGGGCACCTACACACACACACACACACACACACACACACACACACACACACACACCACATAGAGATAAGTTTTTAAAGAGTTGAGTTTCACGGTAAAGCTGCTCGGCTCTATGAGGAGCCGTTGAGTTCTCCCCATGGGCTCCTGTTCTCTGCGCGCTGCACACAGGGATGCGGGTTGTGGTTTCCTCATGAGCTTTTAGACTGCGGTTCAAGTGGAGACAACTGTTGAAACAGGGCATGATAACGGTGTAAGATAAGCACGAGTCGCAAAGTCCATGGGGAGACTTAAACCATCCTTTTTGAAACACACAAAGGCCACAGTCACAGGGAACCTGTGTCGCCAAATTCAGATCTGAGAAAAAGCCCCGTCAGGGCATGTGGAGTTTCTTTACAGCCAACAGCACTGCATGTTGGTCTAGATGGGGAACAAAGGTCAGAGAAACTTCGCTAACCATCTAGGATCAAACTCACCAGGTCTTGGTGTGTGTGTGTGTGTGTGTGTATACACACACACAATTACTTTGGCCATCAATAGAATGTAAGTGCAACAAGTAAGTAGCATCTAGTTAGTCCTTTGTCTTTCTGGAGAGAAAGGAGCCTGTTTCCTGTTTACTAGGAGGTGTCCCAAGTTGCTCCATTCTTTCATGCTATTTTCCAGTGGACCGTAGTCAGACAAAATGGCGATGCCTTCCTTTCCCCATGGACACGTCTCTCTGCACTCAGAAATGTCAGCTGCTAGCATTTCAGGGAGCCTGCCGAAGCACAGGCCTTGCCTTGGGAATCCTGCAGTTTCCCGTTCGCCTTCAGAATTGATTCTGACAAAAACCTTTTGCTATGAGTCCTTCCCCGGTCTGGGAATGTGCAACACTGTTTTATAATTGTTCTTTGTACTGTATTTATTGAATTTAGATTCTAATTTATCTAAAGATGAGTTTACGAATTATATGTGAATGTTAGAGGAATAATGAAAGATGAAAGCTGTCAAAATGCATTGTGTGATTAATCTGCTGTACTCTAGGTACTATGTGTATGGAAAAGCCAGTATTGCCATTTCTGTTTTGCTCATTTTACATAAAAATATCACTGAAAGTTTGAGATTTTAGGGCTATAGAGATGGCTTAGCGGTTAAGAGCACTGGCTGCTCCTCCAGAGGACCCAAGTTCAATTCCCAGAACCCTGATGTCAGCTTACAGCCGCCTGTAACTCCAGTCCCAGGGGATCTGACGTCCTCTCTGGCCTCGGGAGGCGCCAGGCACACATGGCGCACAGACGTGCATGCGGGCAGAATACTCCTACACATAGAATAAGTTAAAAGTTAGAGCTTTCTCTTGGGTTCCAGAATGTGAATATATATGTGCTTAAGTATTTCATGGAAAATAAAATGACAATCTGGGGAATGTAAAGTGAATGTATTGTTAATTATATACAGATTGTTCCTGTTGATGGTATAATTTTCTATTTTTTCTTATCATTCTCTTAAGTCTCCTTTTTGTGTGGTCCCTGTTTACTTTAATAAATTTATTTAATAAATGTATTACTGTAGTAATAAATCACTTTGGTAATAAATTTCCCATGTGTGAGTTTTAAATAGTGACTTATTGTTTTAATTATGCCGCTGGTCTATGTTAGTTCTCTGGCATTGCAAAATAAAACGTGCTCCTCAAATCAGACTCCTTGGACCTAGGAGTGTTCCTGTCTGTGGACAAGCCAGTCTCCACCAAAGTGCTTTCTGTTTGTAGCAGTGGCCTATTGAGTGAAGGTCAGAGTTCATTTCCCTTTAGTGGGGAAGAATCGCAGTGCTTCACACTCTGTAGAACTCAAACTGCCCCCTTTGATGAAGCATCAATCCTCCAGGACTTGCCCACCATCGCTCTCCACCTTGGTTTCTCTTCTAAGATTAACTATCTAGGTTTCTAGGATTGTCTTGTTTGCTTGATAACTTTCTGGAAGTTCCCAAGAGAGCTCTCTCCTTTTTAGCTTCATAAACCTTGGGAAATGGGAATTTTCTTCTCCTATCTTTGTTGAAAGTCCATGGAGTAGAACTGGGCACTCCTGGTGAGTGGGCTTGGATGATAGGAAAATAGCCTTTCTAATGCCGTAATGCTAACACACTGACCATGTGCTGGTATGTGTGTCTATACTGAACACAGCTCACAAACCTTTCAACAAGTAAGGCCACTTTAGCAATCCTCACCGTAATAGAAACTAGCGCTCTGCCCTCGGAGCTTCAGGAAGCCTTGGGTATACTTGGCTGTGGGTGGCTACAGGATCGCATGATGGCTCTAAACGGAGTGGTGGTGCACCTCCGTTCTCAGCACTCGGGAGGCCGGGCAGGAGGGTCACAAGTCCGCATGCCAGCCTGGGTACTGTATGGAGGGACCTTATCTCAAACACCAAGAAAAAGGGCTCTAGGTTGGATTCCAGTGGGAACAGTCCATACTTTTTTGCTCTGTTTGGTGTCCACAAATGCATACCCATTTAGAAAATGATGGTTCCCTGAAACCAGTTAGGGAACCCCGGCACAAGAAAACAGAAGAGAGTGTAAATTTGCCCACATGACTGGAAGATATTTCTTATGTTGTACATAATAACTTGATCTTTTCTTCAGAGATGTGACCAAAATGGGGATCAAGGTTAACACATAGGAACCTCAGGAAGGCTGCTCTGCCAACCGTAGCCCTAAAGCGTTTCCACACCAGCAAAGGCCTCTTTGTGAACCTCAGAATGAGAAAGAATTTGAGGGTGAATCATGGCCAGTAGACCTAAGTAAATGTATTTCATTGCCATAGCAGTGTGTGTGTGTGTGTGTGTGTGTGTGTGTGTGTGTGTGTGTATAAAACAGAAACAGCTTAGAACTGTATCTAACCTGGTGGTAAAACACTTTAGTTCTCTAATCTGCAGCGTATGCATAAGCACTTACTGCCTATGGACTAACACACTTTGCCACATGGTTTCGTGGTCTTTGAGACTATCTAATGGCTAGAACATAGTTCATTCAGGACTTCCTTTATGGTGGGTCAATAAGGCTATAAACCATCTTTTTTTTTTTTGCTGTAGATAACGTTACTATTAACAGCTTTGCAAATACAGCTTCTTTTTGAATTATTACCTCCTACTTACGTGCTTTTCATATAGTACAAATCATGGGGTCTAAATAGAACACTTGATTGACATGTGTCAATTATAGTCTCTTACCTGTGAAGTAGAGTGTCAATTTCTTTATTCTGATAAATAGCTATTTTGATTCTCAAAATAATCAAAGATCTTTATCTAAAGCAGGGATGTAGATTTTTATCTGAAAACTTAACGACAGTATTTTAATACATGGTTTATAAAGCTGTTTTGGAATAGTGCTCACAAAGGTTTAACTTTGATAACTGACTCCATTCTAAAAAGGACCTAGCAATGTGTCCAGTCTGTGGCCTCACATGTTTGTAAAGAAGACTGTAGGTTAGTGGTAAAACACTAGATATCCTTGCGGCCACTAGTTCCATTCACCCTGGCCTCTGGTCTTAGTCTAAATAACATAATGATCAAGTGTCAGTTCCGACCTCTCTTCACTGGGGGTGGGAAAGGTTTTTAAGCCAGTGGCTCTCAACCTTCCAAATGCTGAGACCCTTCAATTCAGTTCCTCAGGTTACAGTGACCCCAACCACACTGTTTTCACTGCCACTTCGTCACTGTAATTTTGATGCTGTTGTGAATCAGAATGTAAATATCTGTGTTTTACTATAGTCTTAGGCCACCCCTGAGAAAGGGTCATTTGACTTCAAAAGGGTCATGACCCACAGGTTGAGAACCACTGGTTTAAGCAGAAGCCACTGGGCATATGAGAAGGTTTAGATCGTTCCCGTAGCTGACCTTTCCTCCCGGACCTCCCTGACTTTTTCTCAATGCCTGCAATGTTAGCATTAGCTGGGATTTCCTTAGCTACTTAACACTCTGAGAGTGTATACTCAGGGGGTGTCTGCCCTGTAATCCCAGAATTAAGACGATAAAAGCAGAAAGAGCAGGAGTCTAACGCTCTCCCAACTATGGAGCAAGTTAAGACCACATGAGACCCTGTCTCAACAATAGAAGAGCAAAACATAAAAACTGTGAACGTGGAAGTTTTATTTCAGGACAGAGTAAAACCATGAATTATTCAAGACTTTCAACCTTTTTAAATCCCAGAATTTTAATTATAGCCAAGTAGTCCTTTCACCAGATAGAAATCCACACACCCTGAACTTTTAATCAGGTATTGCTGGCGAATTGTGCCACATTTAGGTCCCAGCTATCATGTCATCATTTTGGTCCTCCAACCCACGGTGAGGTTCCACAGTGGGAAAGATGTTAAAAACCATCTGGCCAGGCAGTGGTGGCACGTACCTTTAGTACCAGCACTGGAGAGGCAGAGGCAGGCTGCTCTCTATGAGTTCAAGGCCAGCCTGGTCTACAGAGCAAGTTCTAGAACAGCCAGAGCTACACAGAGAAACTCTGTCTTGGAAAAACATATATATGTGTGTGTGTGTGTGTGTGTGTGTGTGTGTGTGTGTGTGTATCTCACATAAATGGTATGTATATATGTGATTGTATATCCCATATGAGGTAATATATATGATACATATATATCACATATATACATGTTCTATATATACTCAGGCTGAAATGCATAAGCACCCTTCACCCCAGTCTTTGGAGGAGGAGGACTGCTTTGTGGCATGAACCTAGGCCTTGCACGGGCTCAGTGCACATTCTACCGCTAAGCTGTACCTCCAGCCCCAGTTCCAAGGTTTCTCACAGTTAGGCCATATCATCACTGGCAGATTCAACACAACAATAATCAAACTTTAATTTTCCCTGTTATTTCTACTGATCACTTCTGCTGTCAACTATCATCAAGACACATAAAAGCATTTGTCTTCAATGGGCTGCCTTTTGCCAGGGTCAAAATGAGGAAAGTGGAACACCACTAGGAAAAGGTTCGATAGGGAAAATCTGAAGATTTTGTTCCCTCTCTGCAAAGCTATCGACTGCCATACAGGACTTGGGGGCAGGGCTCCGGAGCAAAGCACTATTGGAGAGACTTGATTTTGACAGTCATGTTCTACAGAGGAGCCAGCCTGGGTGGACAAAAGACAGGAAGAGGGCTTTGTAAATACTTAAGATGAACGAGTTTCGAAGATTTGGCAGCAGTTGCCTTTAACATTCCTTTAACATGAGGGTGATAGGAAACAAAAACCAAACAAAACACCTTCCAGATGGCTGCTATGAAGAATGTCTTAACCCAGAAAGTTGACTCTCTGCTAAAGGAAATGTTCACAGCCAATGTGTTTGAAACCTTTTGTGGAAAAATGTAACAAAGCAGTGATCACCTATCACAACGCCCACAGGAAGGTTTGAAACAGGCCCTAATGGCTGCTGGGGGCTGTAGCAAGAGCACACATCGAACAAGGGGGTCCCGGGGTGAGGTACCAAATTAGTGCCAAACTCCAGGGCCAAAAGAAAAAGTCATCAAATAAAAGCTGTTCTCCGTATACAGGTATGCAATGTGGCATTTAGGTAACCGAGACCAAGAGCGGGCCTAGTGCCTGATGGGGACTTGACAGCAGCTGTGAAATGCAAGCTGCCCTTCTGCTGGTGGCTGTCGTCTCCCTTCATCTCAGGCTTCACCTAACTGGCCTGGTCAAGTGGTCACGCTTCAAGGGAAGTATTTGTTTGTGAATGAGCATTAGCCAACTGCTCCTCTCTGTACTAGCCAACCTAGGGCTGGTATAGAATCCTAAATTCAAAATAGGGGGAGAAATGACAGTAGAACCAACTGAGAGGTGTCACCTTGTAGGGGACAGAGGGCAGTAAGGGCCAGTTCAGACAACACAGCATGGACTAAGATGGCAACTCTGAACAGCCAGGGAACGACGTGTCAGTACAAAATGGCTGACACGGTGCATTTTACATACACATACATTTGAATACTCATACACACTGCGCATAACTAATGACTGCTTTCTGAGGCCTAAGGCCCTTGGTCTCCACCCCTGCCAGCCGGCCTGTGCGTGCATTTCTGCAGGTCTGTGTGTCTCTATCGGTGCAGCTGAGTGTTCCGGAGCACTTTCCTGCACCTGCCTGTCTCTGCGTGACAGCCTCAGTCCAGCATATACAATGTCTCACCTGCCCGTGGCTCCTCAAATTCTCGTCAGCTTCCCAGTGTCCCACGACTCTCCTTTTCCTGGCATTGAAACTTGAACTTTATACCATTTCACACGACCCATGCCCACTTGCTGCAATATTTGGGTCCCTTTGTGGTTTCACCCACTGACTCCCTACACAACTATTTTTTCCTCAAAAACACTAACACAAAAGCTTTTCGTAACAAGCAGGCCTATAAATATAATTCTCTTGTGCTAGAACAGCATTACTCTCCAGAATATGGTAATGGGTTTTTATGAATATTACAAATAAAAATATTTACATTTTTTAATCCCCAAAATACATATTAATGAAAACTTTTCTCTAAACCCAGATAGGTCTTTATGGTCTGTGTTGTGACATCACCTCACAAAACATTGTCATGAAAATCAGTACCCCCTCTTCAAAAGACAACTG